CTTCCCCCCCCCCCACCGTAGGTCAGTCTCCTTAGTCCATCTGAGCTCTTTCAAATAACTCTTCTTTTTCAAACATTTTTTCTAAGCAGTCAGCATCCCTGTCTCACTCATTCAACATTTTGCAAGTAAGATTTCAGTCAAAAGAAACCGATTTTCGATTCTGTAGACACAAAAGAAAGTTGAAAAGGTATTTTCAAAATTCGATTTTAAAAAGAAGAGGAGGAGGAGGAGGAGGAGATTGGATTTATACCCCGCCCTTCACTACCCAAAGGAGCCTCAGAGCGGCTTACAAACTCCTTTCCCTTCCCCTCCCCACAACAGACACCCTGTGAGGTAGGTGGGGCTCAGAGAGCTCTTGACAGAAACTGCTCTTTTTCAAGAACAGCTGTGCCAGAGTTATGGCTTGCCCAAGGTCATCCAGCCAGGTGCAAGTGGAGGAGTGGGGAATCAAACCCGGTTCTCCCAGATTAGAAAAAAGTTCAGGGGTGGCTAAAGCTTAACCTGCTTCGAGGCCGCTGGTCCCTGGAAAGGGAAGAAAACGCGGGGGGGGGGGGAGATGGAGAAGTTGCTGTGGGCATGTCGGGGTCCCCATTGCTGTGGGCATGTCGGGGGCATGTCGGGGTCCCCAATCATTCTCTTTGGTCCTGGGGTTAGTTCGGTTCATACTGGCACTTTTGACGGGTCCTCGGAAGACTGGCTGCCACGGATGAAATGCTTTGAAATGTTTCTCTTTAAATACCTACCCATGCTGCAGAGATGGCGAAATAGCCACCACACCCTTCTCCTCCAGGGTGCCTAGAGGAGTACTAGACTGGTTCCCCAGTGGTGGCGAAATGCTCGCTGTCCCTGGTCAGAGGTACCGTGGTACCTTCACGAGCCCCAGGGCTGAGTCCTGGCGTTCAGTTTAAGATCTGGAGTTGATTTCCTAATATGAATCGATGTGGCTCCCTGTGTAACCCCGGCCCCGCTCTGCCCCCGGCTCCTTGTTCCTAGCCAGCTTTTGTGTGCAGGCTGGTTGCGGTGGCCGCAAGGCGCGCGCTCCCGTCGGTGGTGGATCCCCAGTCCGCCCGGACACTCCTCCGACCCTTTCGGAGTCTCCAGACAACCAGCAGGTAAGGAAAGTGTAAGCAGCCATCGTTCCGTTGCAGCTTTTATTAAAAATATAAATATTGAACATTCTCTTGCACAACCCAATTGACCGAGCGCTGAAAAGATGTTTTATTTGTGGGAATGTTTACAAAGAAGAAAGAAGGAAGAAGAAGAAGAAGAGAAGCTTCCAAGTCGCGTACACAGAGAGGCCCCCGCCCCCGCCCCCGCCCCTTCCCAGCCCACCCCCACCCCGGCAGAGCAGGCTCTCCCGTTCGCCTGCTTCCAGCGGCTGCTCCGCCGGCGCCCACCCCCAAACACGCCGTCAGTCTTGACCCGGCGAGGAAAAGAAAGGCCAAGGAAAACGAGAGTACGCTACGAACGACACTTCGGTACAACGCTGGGCATGCTAATGAGGAGGGTCTGGGTTAGGTGTGGGTGGACGGACGGACCCCCGCCTGTCTGGAGAAAGCGATGGAATAAAAAGAAGGCGATGGGACTGGACCCGCTC